AAAGCAATTACCTCCGTCCAATAATCAGTTATACCTGCACAAACTATGACTCTCATCCAATACATAACATAGTAACCACATTCAAATGAGTTTGTTTGCTTATTACACTCGAAATGATGAATAAAATATAATGTTATTTTCAAAATTTAAATATAAACAATAATTATGGTATTCACTTATTATAATAAGTTTCTAACCTTAGGATAAATGAACTGCAAAGTCTTTGTTCTGGATTTTCCACTTAGAACATTAGTTAGAGACACAATTCTAAATGAAAAAAAGCCATATATTATTCAATACCTTTTCCATTTTCACTAGCAAATTTCAAAAATTCATCAACTCCCTTTTCGTACTCTTCACTAATACGACGTGCATTCATCTAACTTCGATTCATATTATGTTATAAAGTTTCGTCACTCCTAGAGATTTAAAATTTATATTTAAAAATAAATTAATATACAAACAACAAAGCACGTATATGGAGTGTGTAAACCGAAAATACACTCAAACAAAATAATGACATTCCAATAACAATCCAGTGGAGACATTCATACAATGACGTGATTAAGATCCCCAAAAACAATCACGGATTCAATTTGAACATATATCAAGAGACATAGAATACTAACCTCGAGTAAACACGAAAACGATTTCAAACTCGAATCCAATCGGGGAGAAATGTCAAATTCGTAAAATGAGACACAATGTTGATGTTCTTCACTGCCAAAATGATCGAAAATGGTGTGGAAAGGTAGTTGTTGTTGTTGTTGTTCTCATTGTCGTTCTAAAAAACCCTTGCGGCGCGAGATGCGGGAGTGGGTCTGGAAGAGAATAAAAAGAACTTTTTACGTCGCACACCCTAGCACGAGACGTAAAAAGCCTCTTTTACGTCGCGTGGGGGGTGCGCGACGTAAAAAGTGATACTTTTTACGTCGCGCACCACCCATGTGACGTAAAAAGTATCACTTTTTATGTCGCGCACCCCCATGTGACGTAAAAAGTGATACTTTTTACGTCGCGCACCCCCACATGATGTAAAAAGTATCAATTTTTACATCGCGCACCCCCATGTGACGTAAAAAGTGATACTTTTTACGTCGCGCACCCCCACGTGACGTAAAAAGTATCACTTTTTATGTCGCGCACACCCCACGTGACTTAAAAATCTCTCTTTTACGTCGCGTTGTACCAGGTGCGACATAAAAGAGGTTTTTAACGTCACCTCCTACAATATGTGACGTAAAAGTTTCACCTCTTATTTACAAAATTGTCACCGCGTTTTATTTACGTCGAATATTTTGACATGCGACGATAATTGGGTGACGTAAAATGTCATTTTTGCACTAGTGATTCTAATAATATCAAATATATGTACATATTTAATATTTGGATACAATTATTAATGAATAATAATAATAATAATAATAATAATAATAATAATAATAATAATAATAATAATAATAATAATATTTATCATCATTTATTTTTTTATAGATATTGATCATTCATGTAAAGGAACTTATTAGCGAATTTAAAAAAAAAATAATTCTACAAAAAATTGATTGCGAAAATTTGAAACTAACAAGAAATTTCTAATCTTTTTTTAAAAAAATTATCTAAAATTATAAATTTTGTATGAAATTATTTTTGAATTAAAAAAAATACCTATGAAATTTACATAAAGTTATAAGTAAATATGACAAGAAATGTAATTTTTTGCATAAAATTTAACAAGAAATATCAGTAAATTTTAAATCATTAAATAATTTATTATTCACAAAGGAATTAACTAAAATCAATATGAAATTAACAAAAAAAAAACTCATTTCTTATAAATTTTTATAAAAATTTCGATAAAAAAAAATCATGAATGAAGCTAAATTTTTCATTTCCAAATGACTAAAAATAACTAAATTTGTCCAAAGTAGAAATAGAAATCAACATTTGTTTAAAAGACTGAAAAATAATAGTTTCATGAAGATCAAAATAAAAACCAATCTTTAACAATAACTTAAAATTTTCAATTACTTTAACTTTGAAATCTTGTCATCATCTACATACATATATCTTTCTTCATCACTTTGGTTTCGACAACTCATGTAAGCCTACATAAACACACTTGTGTGAGTTGTATCACTAGCATCTATCCACCATGTGCATTTAGGTACAAAAGTTGAATTGATCTCACAACAACCCAAATTGGGAAACATACATTTCTTAGCACGTCATGCATAATAATTAGTAGAATGTTTTCTTCACATGGCCTGCACCTCCATAAAGAAACAACTATTGTTTCAAATTCATTTGATTTATTTTGTTGTTCCTTTCTGTGTTATACTTGTTACTTCCTTCTCCTTTTTCCTTTTTAGTCCCTTGTCTTTACTTATATTTTAAAGAAGTTGATTTTTTTATTTTTTATTTGAGGTGATATAACTAACACTTCCTTTTTAAATATATTTATATGTATATTTACAATTTTATCTTTTTTTTTTATATTTATTCATTATTTATTAATAATATATTATTTATTCCAAAATAATGATCAAGATCGCAATTGAAGTATACCTATCTCATACTTTTCCTTATTAACAAATATCTTTTCAATTTTCGCAAGAAACTCCTTACCTGTATTTATGTTTTAAAAAATGTGCCCCAGAATGCTTCTACAATGGCTTTCTTCATGATCATTAGACTCATATTCCCATTTTCATTTCCCTCTTTGTTTTTAGAGGTACTCTTATCTATAAGAGATGGGCGAGTCTATCCTTAAGGCAAGATCAAGATTCGTTACACAAAGAACTATTAAGACATTTTCTTTGACTTAAAGTTTTAAGTGATTTAATACAATAATAGATTATGTATATATTGATAATAATATTGACAAGATCATTCACAACTTAATTGAGAGCAACAAACAGAAAATACCTTGACATACGTTTTATAAAATTAATTTCAAATACAAAAAACAAATCTCATTTCAAGATACCGTTAATATATTATTATATTTAATCTTTGATTAAAATTTCAATTATTCAACGTACGATAATAAAATACTAATAATAAGAACATGTTAAAGATTATTTTCACATAAAATTGAATAATTTTACGCCATTATATCACCACAAGTGCATATGCAATTATATAAAAATACTAATCTTACTTTGAGTCGATTAATTAGTATGCACATAAATTATGAGCTAATAATCATTTTATATTTAAAATAAAATAATTTACACAATAGAGATCACTGTGATGAAATGTTTCAATTAATTAATTTCTAAAAGTATATATAAAGCCTAACTGAAACAATATTCAAAACAATAAAATACATAATTTGTAAGGAATAACAACATATTCCTTAGATTATATATGCATATTAATCAATTACAGTAACATAAAATTATACTAAACTAATCATGAAATCAACTATCATATCATACAGGAAAAAAACACTATATATCGAAATACATTTGAAAACAAAACAAGATCAACAAACTATCAAGATCTTTTTCTCCTTACTATACTAGTCAGTAGATACATAAATCTGATTTTATTTTAATTGAAAACACATGACATACTACAATGAATAAGCAAACCCAAAAAGATTCCTAATGGATCAACACATGGTATTAAAAGTTCTCATACTAATTGTTAGAATAAAAAGTAATTTGATGAAAAATACTATTTATATAATATTGAATTAATCATTAGAAATAAAACTACTCAGCCTAATGCCAGCTAATCACGCTTCCACTTATTTTTCTTAACAAATTTGTTTAATTATGCCGAATTTTAGCATATTCAGAACTACCCAATATAATTACAAAATAAAATTATCTTTTAGTTACCACTCATTAAAGGTCTTATATACTATACATAACTATTGAATACAATTTATAAGATATTTGATCACATATAATCGTAGGTGTCCTTAATATAAATTATTAATGTATAAGACGAATTTTAGATTAAGATCTAACATTATGGAAGGCTCCAACATTAAGCTCTAATAAAAAAAACCTTAAAAACTCTAAAATTCCCTTTCATTTTTTTCATCTTGAACTATATGTAAAACAATAACTCTTCTAACCAGTGATTTATATTATTAATGGAGAAAATAAAGAAGCTAATAAATCAGAGAGTAGATCTTCGTAAACGAATATGAATAAACTACACAAGAAAAATGTATATAATAATGAACTTAAAATTTTATCTTAGGTCATTAATATAGGTTTTTCTTTATTTATAAGACGCTTAACTTCTCTTTTTTCCTTCTAGTTATTATCTCAGCAAATAGTAATGAATAGAAAATCTAATGGTACTCAAGTCTTTTTATTCCTTTTAAAGGTGCCTAGTAAAATTAATTAATTAGTCACTTAAGTATCATTGAGGTTAAACCTTATCTCATACGTTAATTATACCTACAATTGGTATTAATATTTTTTAATTGGGTTAATTATATTTCAGTTCTTATATATTTTGAATTATATATTTGGTTCTTCTAATTTTAACTGTTTACATTTATATAATTTCTCAATTGTTTGATGTAACACACTTTCTCCAAAATTTCATATAACTATTAACAAAAATACAATGCAGATACGACAATTGTACAACAAACTAATATACAGTAAGAGAAAAAGAAAACATGAAAAAGACAGACACGTGTGTTTTATGTGTCCAAAGACGGGACTCTGAAGGACTTTAATATTTTAAAAATTAAAAATGAATGAAGAATTTAAGATGGTGAGATAAAGATGGAGTCTTAAAAAATTCTGATGAAGTCTTATTTAATTGAGTTTCACCATATGAATCATTATAGTTTAATCTCAGGAAGTCTTATGATTAATCTGAAGACATGGTATTAATATTAAAAAATTAGTCTTTATTTTTAAGACTTGGGTCTTAATTTTAAGACTCTCACCAGATGTTCTAATAAACCAAAAGCTATATAGAAAAGTGATTTTAAAAGAATAAACAAATGGAGAGGGTGAAAAAGATTAGAGTCGCTTGAGAACATCGTTCATCAAGCTAGGGTTGGCGATTCGAAATTCAATCAACTCGTCCAACGTAATATAACCATCGCCATCTTGATCAATGTCTGCCATTTGACGTTCAACTTCCTCCTGTGTGGTTAAGCCCAACACTTTGAGGGCTTCTGCAAGCTCCGACAACGAGATCTTGCCGTCGCCATTCACATCAAACCGCTTGAAAACACGTTCACAGTCATCTTCATCACCCATGCTTTATTCTCTTCGCGATGACCACAGCAATTAAATGTCTCTCATCTGCATAACAATGTTCAAATGAAATGAACGACAGATATATTTAACAAGTCAAAAACACGGAGGGTGCCTCTATCTACAGACTTGGTCTTCTTGCTTTGCTATATTATCGGATCACCTCTGGAGTTTCCACATGCACCAAAACTCAAAATGTCAGCAACCAGTTTCATTTATCGTGATGTGTGGATAATAACAAAAACATTATGATTCACTTTTAAGATACTTACTCAAATTTCTTACATACTACTAATTATTCTCTCCTATTTTTCCTTCGCCTTTCTATCACCAACAATTACTCTCCGAGATTCATGGACTTGCTTTCTACCTATGCATAATTAACCTATCTTAGTTTTATGAATACGTATATATGCTTGTGAGATAGCAACCTATACCTGCGGAGGCTAAACCCTAGATCTATACATTTATACTAGTTATAATTCATAATGGAAGAGTAGCTATAAATTAAAATAGACTAAAGGATTAAATATGTTTTTGTTATCTAAAAGTTACTAAATTTTGTTTTTTGTTCTTAATAGAATTTTTAAAATAAATTTTTATTTTTGGTTTTGAAAATGGTATAGATAATACTTTGGATAGAGAAATAAAATGCTACATAGATAGTCCTTTTTTTTTCATTTTAATGGTGAAAAACGAACAATCACTACAACGAAAGTGACTTTCGCGAGAACACTTTAAATAGTAGATAAGAGTAAAACAGTTGTCTAAAGTATGTTTTAATAGCTGTTCAAAAAGAACCACGTTCTAAAATAATTTATAATAGCGGTTGTGTGATAACCACTATCTAATATCATACCTTTAAAGAGCGTTTAACACGTGAAACTGCTATCATAACTTTAAATAGCGGTTACTTCTGTTAGAAAAAGAGGCTGAGATCAAGAGAGGGGGGGGGGGGGGTGAATTGATCTTTGAAAGATTTTCGCAATTTACAGATTATCTATTTCAAAGATTAAGAGATTTAACCAATTATTGAACCAAGAAAATCAATCTATTCAAAGTAAGACAACAACAGAATTAAAGAGAGTAAGGTTTAGAAAAATACAACCAAGATTTATACTGATTCACCCAATCCCAAGGCTATGTCCAGTTCTCAGCCAAATTCTAGCTGAGTTCCACTAGATTGAATGTTTTACAGATTACAGATTCCAATCACACACCCAATCTACCACAAGACTCAAATCCCAGATCTTGCACCTAAACCTTCACTAAGAACAAAATTTCAGTTCTTGAACCAACCTGCAGCCAAATTCCAGCTACAGAACCAGTGCCCAACAATTTCAGACACACATCACCCAAGAACCAAGTTCCAGTTCTTCTACCAACCTGCAGCCAAATTTCAGATACAGAACCAGTGTCCAATAATTCCAGACACTCACAATACAGTAAACAATTGAAATAACAAAGAGAAAAAACTAGAACAATCAAACTCGGATTATGCAACTTCTGCACAATGAGTTTCTTCACCAAAAGAATGCAAAAATTGCCTTAAGAAAGAACTTTGAAAAACTCCACAAAACTTGCGTGATTCTTTCTTGAAAGTAGCTCTTTATGATTGCTTGCTTGATTGCTCAAAAATATATTTTAAAATGTTGAATCAAGTCTGTTTATATAGAAAAGTTTTTGAACTTCTGGTTTAATTAATCTGTTAAACCGTTCTTTTAATCTATTAAAAGTCTTTGATTAATCAATTAAAACTTCTTTTAATCTGTTAAAATGGTCTTGATTATTTTTCATATTTATTTTAACTGATGCAACATTGTTTTAATCGATTAAAACAATTAACAAAAAGTCTCTTAAGTTGTTTTAATCGATTAATTCGCAATTTAATCGATTAATATTCTGCCAAAACTTTTCATAAAACTTTCTAAGTGATTTTAACTAATAACAACTAGTTTTAATCGATTAAAATAGTTAGCAAAAAGTTCCTTAAATTTTTTTAATCGATTAATTCGATTTTACATCGATTAAAATTATTCTAATCGATCATTTTTGAGATTACATCGATTAAAACTTATTCTGATCGATCATATATGAGATTACATCGATTAAAAAGCTTTTCAAATGGTTTTAATCGATTATTTCGAAGTTATATCGATTAAAATACTGCCAGCACACTTTTCAAAACATCATAAAATATTTTAATCGATTATTTCGAATCTATATCAGTTAAAACACTAGTATAAGGTTTTCAAAAACTCCTTTAATGAAAATAATCGATTAATTCAAAAGTGTATCAATTAAAACAGTTCCAGTGAATGTTTTAAAAGGTTTTAATCAATTATTTTGAAAACTTATCAGTTAAAAATCTGTTAAGTAAGTTTTAAGAACATTTTAATTGATAATACTCATATAATATTAGTTAAAACAATTTCCTAAAAACAATTTAACCGATTACTTTGGTTTTTAATGGATTAAGAACATCTAGAGGCATTTTCAAATTCTTTCAAATGATGAAAGCTCATGTAGTAGAGAGATATGAATGATTATACCTATGTATATATGCAAATTCACTAATCACTCAACCTTTTTAATTCAAGTAACCTTTGACTTCATCAGATAAGCCTTTGACTTCATCTAATCAACAAGATCTTCGTTTTATCAAATGATTCAATAAGATCTTCATCACTTTCAACTTCGTGGAACCACTATAACAAGTGTAGTTTAGATAGCAGTTATTTGGTGAACCGCTATCTAAAGTCAAAATTAACCCTAATCCCCCTTTCTTCAACCTCACGCTCTCTGTTTCTGCGTTTTTTGCCGCTCTCTGCGTTCTTCGTCTCGCTCTCTGCGTCTTCCATTAAACTAAAGGTACGTTCTCTCCTTCTCGCTTACTTTGTGCTCTCCCACTTGCTCCGGGTTCTCTCCATTTCCCTTTGTATCTTCAATCTCTCTCATTCTCTTGCTCTCACTACTAAGTTGGGTATTACAACTCCATTGAAGCATATTTGTGTCGCGTTCCAGTCTCCATTCGCCGTTGTTGCTGTAGGACGCGCTTATTAGGAGGTTTACAATAAGTTAGTGCATTATATATTTTTTAGGGTTTTATTTGATTTATTATAATATAATTATTTGAATTAATGTGATATTGGATACAATTTGCACCCCTATTTTGATTCTGATACATTTAGTTAAATTTTAGGGTGAGTGTGAATTAGACATTACAATTTAAAATTAGTATTTGGATTGATTAATATCTTAGTTTGGTCTGAATTGTTTATTTTTGCCTACATTGTGATCCTGAAATTGTGTTTTGAAATAGAATATAGGCTGACTAGGATATATACATGGTTTAGTGTGACCCTGGAATATTTTGTATTAGAGATTATGTATGATGTTTTTGCTGATAGTTTTAGTAATTTTAGATGCTTGTTAAATAGTGTTATTATATATGAACTTGAGTGAACCTTTAGTTTCTCATTTGAGTCTCTAAATAATGATTTAGGGTCATTATTTTGAAACTCAAATTGTCCCAATTTGGACAGTCTGGGAAAAAAGTTTTTCTTAGCCAATAATTATCTAGGTAGTTGATTAAACTATTATTTGTTATAGTTGGTAAAATTTTGATTTGTTATTCGTGTCATTGTCTTTTGGTGCATGGTTGAATGAGGTTAATTTTACCAAATTCAAGTTGTGGACTAAGAGACTGATGCGAAATGTTGTCGAAATTTTATTAAGTATACAATATAATGAATTCAGATGATTGTGGATATTACGTAGTCTTGTTCATTGGAGATGCACTGTAGCATGGACAAACTACTATTCCAGTTAATGTAAGAACTATTTTTGCATTACGACTATGTTTATATGAAAGAATAATGTATTGTCATTATTTATCTAATTTGGAATTTAACTTTTGTGATTCTTTTCTATTTATGTCTGCAGTATTTTCCAGAATCTCGCTTTGCTACCTTTTCAGACCTTAGAATTGAGCAGTTACAAAAGGAATGATGTGCATATTTCTATCATATATTTTTTAAGGATAAAATCAACATCATAGACTCTTAGGGATTTTTTTAATCATTTTAATTATTTGATGTATATGTACCAATTTTGTTTCATGCAAATTTTAGTTTTAATTTGTCAAATTTTGAATTGTTTTTCTATGATTCTGTGAATATATATTGTATGTTGACTGGATTTTTTTGGATTAATTTGATATATACCCTGAAATTGTGGTTTATCAGGTACAAATTATCATGAATAAATTTTGGATTTTAAAATTTAAATAATTTTTTTTAAATTGGGACTTTAGATAGCGGTTCTCAGAACCGCTATCTAAACATACTAAAAGAGAGCAGTTCTAGAACTAACCACTATTAAAGGTATATTTTAGATAGTGGTTGTCGTTTTAACCGCTATTATATGTGTTATTTTTAAGAGCGGTTCATCATTCCAATCGCTATTATAAATACAACTTTGCATAACGGTTCCACGTTAACCGCTATTATATCTTATTTATGATAGCGGTTAGTTAACCGCTATCTAAACGTCATTCTTTTATTAGCGCCTCATTTAATAGCGTTTTTAGATGCTATTATATATAGAGTGCGAAACCGCTATTAGATGTTTTTTCTGTTGTAGTGAATTTATTAGAGAAAAAAATGTAACAATCTTATCAAAGATAAAAAAATATATTTAAGTTTAAATTAAATGTATGGCTTTAGTGAAGAAAATGTGAAAACCATCTTAGTTTCCAATCCAAAGGGAAAAAAAGTGAAAAGAAGCCAACTTATATTCGATATCATTAGGCGTACATTACCTTGAGATAAAAATTATAAAATGTCACGAATATTGTGAATAAGGATAGGAATATAGAAGTATACAAGTAAAAAAATTAACAATTTTTTTAGTCCTTAAAATTTGTAGTAAATTTTTTCATTGAAATAGAAAATAAAAAAAATTAGTTTTAATCCTTTGAAATTAATATGAGTTCTTATAAG